CCTCCTGGGCGATGCCGGCTTTGCTAACTCCAGGAGTGTGATGGCGCCCTTCCGAGAGCGGGCCACAGAGAATGACGTCAGGAAGAGGAGGTTTAACAGGGAGCACGCCAAAACTCGACGAGTCGTCGAGCAGGCGTTCGGAGCGCTGAAGCGGCGTTTCTGTATACTGTACAGCATCACCCGCATTCAGCCTCCGAAGCTCCAGAAGGTAGTGAAGGCCTGCGTCATTCTCTACAACATCGGCATCTACCTGGGAACTCACAGAGGACAATCGCTGGCTCCCATCCGTCGAGGTTGGATGACCCATCCTCCGGACAACGGCCAGGTCCGCGAGTTCGTCACGGAAAACTTGTAGAGGTTGGTAATTCCGATGCGAGCGACAGTCACTCTACAACCCAAGCCGAGAGCAAGTATACCTAACATCTCCGCAACATGTACCCTCGATATCATCCCATATGTCTTCCCTCAACATGACGTGGATTACGTGGCTTGATGAGGCGCCGCCTCGCCTCGGGCTCGCGCCACGTTGCGAGCGCATCATTTGGCGCGACGTGGCGCTCAACACAACGTGGCGCAGGCTTTTCCACGTTCTTCTTTGTGCCACATCAGGCCGAAGATGCGCACGCAACGTGGCGCAAGCCTGAGGCGAGGCGGCGCCTCATCAATCCTCGTAATCCACGTTATGTTGAGGGAAGACATATGGGGTGATATCGAGGGTACGTCATCTCGCTGTCAAGATGACGTATTTTGGGAGCATGCTACATGGCTGTAACTTGAGACAGGCATGCTGTCGCCTGTAGCAGCAACACGTTTGTAGGTGCAACATGTTGTCACATGCTTCCATTTGATGTAGTTGGTAGCAGACGATGTAATTCATAGCATTATGATCCATGTTGCTGCATAAAACATGCGCGGTACATACTGTTGCACCATGATGCATGTTGTTGCAACATTGTTGCACCTAGCTGCAATTGCTGCAACGATGTTGCATGCTGCTACAGCATCCTTGTTGCTGGTTCTGCATTTAGTTGCATGTTGCTGCAACATTCATGTTGCATGTTGCTGCAACATTCATGTTGCATGTTGCTGCAACATTATTTTTGCAGGTTGCTGCAACATTCTTGTTGAATGTTGCTGCAACATGCAACATGAATGTTGCTGCAACATTCTTGTAACATCAAAGCAGCAACATTCACTATGTTGCAACAACATGCAATAAAAATGTTGCAGCAACATGCAACATGAATGTTGCAGCAACATGCAACATTCTTGCATGCAACAGCAGTAACATGCAACTTTGCAATCCGCCTGTACACGAATCCTGGAGACGACCATACTTGCCTACGAAAAATGTACCTGTTTCTCTTGCGTGATGTTTTGTTGCTAATCGTACTCTGTTGCCATTCAACGACGTATTTTCAGCGTATCTCCGCGCACAAATTTGTTTCGTCGATCGACTTTGTTGTTTTTGATGCCATGTTCAATGACGACCTTACACCGCAAAATTCGCGAGGTAAAAACTACAGCTAGCTGACTGCGTGACTACCTACAGTTTTATGTGCTTACGTTTGGTCATGGTCAATTATCATAGCACTTGATTTCTACTGCTGTTTTGTAGAAGGTCTTTCATAGCCCATAGAGGAGCACGCTGCTTAGTTGCTATGAACAGGGCTGCTGATTCCTCGTCGACAGTGTTGTGGACGTAATCCGAAAAGAAGGCTGAAGGATGTAATTGTCTACAAGTAAGAACGTCTCAGTGGGATTGTTAGGGTGTACTGGTCCATTTTTAGGGAATCCAAATTACGCATGCGCTTGGAGGTGCTACTGGATCAGGTATGGGCACGCTTCTGATAGCCAAAATTCGTGAGGAATACCCCGATCGAATCATGGCGTCATACTCAGTTCTGCCTTCTCCTAAGGTTTCTTTATCGTTGAATCTTTATTTCAAATAGCCTGAAAGTGTTTTCCATTTTCTGTTTTCCATTTTTTGTTTTGACCCGTACCGAAACCCTACTATAACTCTACCAGATTGTTCTACCGTGCGAAATGAGGTGATATTCATGGCGACGGCCGATCGCCAATCGCAGCGATTAGCGATTGCCAATCGCTGCGACGGGCGATTGCCAATCACTATGACTGGCGATCGCCAGTCGCAGCGATCGGCAATCGCCCGTCGCCATGAATATCACCTTATTTCGCACGGTAGAACAATCTGGTAGAGTTATAGTAGGGTTTCAGTACGGGCTCAAAACCAGAGATTTGCCCCAGACTTTGTCTAGAGGGAAGAATGCAATTAGGCTCTGCAATTTGCATCTGAAAATGCCGCCCAGATTTGTTTGTTTGCGACAGTCGGCTATGTTTTTCACACTTCAGGATTGTTACGGAGTGCCATATATTCCTGAAGGCCAATGGCTATGTCGCCGATGTAAGCTGTCAGCATCTACGCAAGTGGAATGTTGTTTATGCCCGACCACGAGTGGTGGCTTCAAACAAACAAGCGATGGATGTTGGGCACATGTCATCTGCGCTATCTGGCTTAATGAGGTATTGCCATGTATTCAAAGTTTAACTTGCAATTTTTTTGTCTATTCTTGCACATTTCTTGTTTCGTTGTTCGACAGATGTCACTCTACTCATTATCTAGGTAATCGAAGATACAAGTTAAAGTTGGGCTTGAAAGTGTCCAAAGGTGTAAGAAATCCGCCCTTTTCGGCCTAACGTGTTGATATGTGAAGTAATCACCTCAACATCTACCTCTTAGAGCGATTTTCTCGCTTCAGAACTCATCTTTTGCACGGAACACTAGCATTTACTTGGTTAGGGGCCCCGTTATTGTACCGTAACAAAAACTCAACGAAGTATGGCGGCAAAGACAAGCAGGACACCTACTGTAAAGTAAGCTTTTGGCGGATTGTTTACTTGTATATTGTATATTGTATAACTTCTTGCTATAAAATCCGAATATTCTTCAGTATGCCAACTATATCTTCTGAAGCTATCGAAAGTATCAAGAATCAAGTAGGCACCGTTGTTAGAGATATTGTGCAATATTGGTATCTCAAAAGACGAAGTTTGGAAACCACCAAGGTGCTATGCGAAACTACTTAAGCAGTCCATAATCTTGTTGGATGTACTTTTACAGTTTATAGTTCAAAGTTTTATGTTACGCTTTTAGATGCTACATTCTACATTCTAATCGTTGAATGTAATCGAAAAATTCTTGTTCAATTGTTAGCTTACCCACTTCTTTCACTTTTCGTAGACGTGTATTCGCATGATGTAATGTGAAGTATGTTTTGTAGCATTCTGTTGATGAATGAAGGAATATGTTTATTATCCAGGACAACCTCAACATGGGAAATACACAAAGTAGTAGTAGTAGTCACAAGTAGTCATTCTCATATGTTGGCTGCACGCCATCTACATCAACATAAGATTTACGACAGTCTCCCAAAGAAGGTCGTGTCTTATGATTCGACCCGAAGAAAAGGAATCCAACAAAAAGTTCCAAATTTGTACAAAGTCCAAAAGTCTGCATCATGTGGTAATAAGATGCAGCATGGTAAGACCGCACAAAGCAGTTCATTTGACTGCAAAATCTTTTAGGACGCAGTTTAGACAGTTTGCAAGCTAAAGCTTGTTCCAACAAACATAAAAAATGCAAACAACTGTAGAGAAACTTTCAAAAAAGCTTGTAAATCGTATGTAACACACCATACGAGCAACACTCGTTGGAACCACTTCAAAGGCGAATAACCTAGCTACTGCAATGGAAACGGGAAGATGATCAAGTTTGCCGAGTACAGCAGGCAGAACGCACGAGGTTTGACCAAGGTCTGGATGTTCCGCGCTCCCGCACAACATGAGGCGTACTGAATGAACATCAGTGCGATGTAAATTGACTCAACGAAGTAGATCTCACCTGCTGCAACACATGGTGGTTGTTCAAGCGCCCTTACCACCTTTTGTAGCTCACTAGCCGCAGTGCTTTGGACTGACTGGGAGCAGCGATATCCGGTCGGGATGCGAATGTCAAGAATTGAGTTCACAGTGCTCAGCACAACGATCGAAGTGCGATCATCAAGTTGTCAAGAGGGAATGGAGAGATCTAGAACAAAATTATAATACATTGTGTGGGGCTCACATGGTAACTAGCACTAATCTGATTTAAGACAAGGCAGGAAAGTTTGAGAAAGTCACATCTTACACACCCCTGCGTGGTATTCAAGTCTACCGCGGTGTTAATCCCATATGACACTAAAGTTGATTACCTCTTCGCAAAGCTGGAGTAATGCGACGCATTGCAATTACGAAACAATCTTTATCAACCACAAAATCAGAACGATTCAGCTTCAGCCGTTCTTTGGACATGTAGATATGAGGAAAACTAGATCTCAAGGCAACCAAGACAGCTTCCGTGCATAAAAACTGTAATATAATGACTTTGTCGTCCATTTATTACAACACCTATGCACCTGTAGATCGGCTCCACTGTATCCACTTGTACTATCGACTAGACATTTTAAAGTCGCCTCTTGGGTTGGCTCTGTCCTCATTTGGAAGTATGGATCGTCAAAATTTGGGGTCTAAAAACGTTATCAGTTTGGTAGTTCATGAGCGCATAGTTAAGCAATGTTGAAAAAACTGCAATACCTTGCATTTGCGTCAGGAAGAGAGAATTTGAGTTCTCTATCAAATCCTATCCCGGAATCGATACTCATCGGATCTATATCGGCACATGAGACTCCAGTCTGACGCAAGTTCCCTGATTACTGCTTGACTCGCAGAGAGATCCTTGTCTTGAAATCAAAGTATAAATTCATACAGTCGTTAAAATTAGGTTAACAGTGACCCGTTATCGACATGAAAGATCAGACAAACTCACCAGTCAGATTGATAGGCAGGTAACGATTTCTCGTCTTCGCTATGCTCCTCTCCTTACGCCTTTAGAACTCGTAAGTCATCGTTACGAGTTCTGATAAGATCACCACTGCTATCACTTAAGGAAGTCGAAGAAGAATCACCGCCCAGTTCTCGTCGACGTCTTCAAGATTGAAAATCTTGAGAGTAAGAAAGGAGAAGAAAATGTTACCTTTTGCACCACCCGTCCGAATCAACATGGCAACGATCGATTCGTCTTCTACAGGATTCATGGAACATATATAATACACCACCCGATCCAAAACGTATTGCAGCTCAACCTACAACTAAACGTTGGCGAATGGAACAAGCAAAAATCTGTAAACGTACCTTATTGACACAACCTCTGATGCAGCCAAAGTAAGAACAAGTTAGAAGTCAGAAACAATAAACAGAGGGAGGTGTCCCTTTACTTCACTGACTCGAGACAACGGATTCTTCGATGTTGGCGTCTAAAATGACGTCTTCTTCAGCGGTCGGATGCCTTTGAATGCAGTTCGTTGTGCCAGGTTCACCACGAATTTGTCTCTGCGAAACAATGCTTTCGGTCAGCACGTTCAGTAAGTGCATCAGTTGATTGAAGAATCGGCGCTGATCCTAAAGAGGAGAAATAGGGGGCCACATAGAAAGAAATTGACTGACCTGACACAGTCTGTACTGCTCTTCTAGCAGTACAGACTCAGTGATGCGTTTTCGCTTAGTTGGCACATCGAAGTGATCACTGTCGCTCTCGAAGTCGTCTTAAATACAAGAGTGACAGTGAAACTAAACACATTCTTGCTTCCTACCATGATCGGTTCTGCTTCGGCTCCATTTTCCTCGCGGCGTTCCGTGCAGGCTTTTCGCTGTAACAACCAAGACAATTTGCAAGATAGTCTATGATGCTTCAGAACATACCTTCCCCACCATGCTCTCGCCCTCCTGAAATGGCTCCGTCATAGGGGTCTTATCGTAATATCTCCACAAAATTTCCTCCGAATCAGTGCTGAAAGGGCAGCAGTCGTTGTTTTTCGAGAAATTCGTTTCTTCTTCCCAGGAATTTCCGCCCCCCGTCGCCATGCGATACCTGAGGATGGTCTACTTCTCGTTGTATCCGTAACCACTTGCACACACCTCTTTTCTGCTGAAAGGCCTTTCTTGAAGGCCATACCCTTTGATACGACTCTCGATCGTATATGATCGAAATGATTTCGTATCTTCTTCTCGTTGGTCTCGAAGCCGAACTCCTCCTGGAGTTCGGCGAGCAGCTTTTTATAAGCTGCGTTGCGTTTAGTGTTCTGCGCTAATGTCCTCACATTGGTGTCGTTCAGGAGGACGTCTCCGTTCTTCACAAAGAAATCCATGATATATTTCGACACCGCGTGGGGTATTTTTGATGGTGCGCTCGGCTGCATGATCGCTGCAACAGCAACAAACACAATCTACAAAGATTGGAAAAACAATCCGACTGTTCATAAATCACGTAATAAGCTCGCAATGATGTCGCAAACGTGAACTAAAAAAATGTCAAGTTAGCATCATTACATGGTCAACTATAACTAGCAATTTACGGTGCAAACGCTTGCTTATACAAAAGGGCATATAACGCACAGTCGAATTCCTATGGAATTTTGCATTGGAAAAAAAGGAGAAATAAACAATAATTTGAAGGCAAATTGAACACCAACTTCATCTTAATACCATAAAATTAGATGTGGAGTCTCAGAAACTAGCTGAGGGGATTTAGAGCGTGCCTACAATAAGTACTATCTGAAGGTGGCATCTGCATGCGATGCGCAGGTTACAACACAGAGCGCAACTTTTTGGCAACAAACAATCACTAATAGTGAATTTTCAAAATTGGCGAAAATCTTATGAACTAGCTTCGGTAGTAAAAAATGGTCAACCGGCACCTATGAAAACTTCAAAAAGAAGACATGAGCTGGATGATATTCGCAATAAAGACAAAGCAGAATACGTACACACTGGATTTGGACTAGAGGAAGTGATGCCTCAACATTTGTAGCAAAATAGAAAATTGACGAGCACGAAAGGACCATGATGTTGATTAGCACTGCTGCAGACTTCAGCAGCATGAAAAAAACCGAAGTAAAAGATTCGACTTCGTGCAAATCCTCAGCGGTATGAAAGTGTGCATTTTCGCGTGAAGTCTGTCTGCACTTTTAGCTGAACTTACGCGTTTCGTAAGTTACTCGGGAGCAACTTACGGGGATTTTCTCTGTGCTCTCCTCTTTAGCACAGTATTTACCTTATGTCGTCGCCCGGCTCATCTCCGATGACTCGGGTAGGGAGGTGATCTCCCTACCGGGCTTCGTCTGAAGCTCACCTGTAGGGTGACCTTGCATACTTACACTACGGGAACGCGGACAGTCCTCATCTCACCCGACAAAACCTCATATGAGGGCCTCAGGGGAGATCATCTCCCGTGACCGAGCTTTACTACGGGCCATATTCGCGGATTTCCGCAGAAGAATTTGAAAAACAGAAAACGAAATATCGAAGACATTGTACCCCTTCCCCCCTTCCAATATATCAGAAGATTCTCCGCGCCGAGCTGAATCGAATGGTGGCTTTGGATTCAGAATTCGTCTATTCTGAAGCGAGATATGGCCACGCGACTGTGATGTCCATACATGTAGCGACATGTATGGACATGTCGCTACATGTATGGACATGTAGCGACATGTATGGACATGCCGCTATATGTATGGACATGTAGCGACATGTCCATCATGTCCATACATTAGCGTCTATTTTACAAAAAATGTGAGCAGTATTGTATTTGCTCAGCATTGCTTTGAAGAACGAAAAAAATTTGTTTTCTCAGTTTATAGTCAGGGAAAAGATATAGCAAAACATGTAGAACGAAGGTCCATTTTCAAACGTTGTACGTTAGTAACTATGAGTTGAGGTTATTGATGGCCACTGATACATTCGCCAAGAATAAACTTATGCCTCTCACGGCGTCCCAAATTTTAATTTTCCGGAATCTTCAGCTGATCTCTGGACAAGCTTCAACAAGAAGTGGACAGAGTAAACAAGGTGCCATAGAGAAAATTTTTTGGGTGTATCCAAATGTCTTTTTGTAGTAAAACTTGTGTAAAAACAAGGTTTGGGCGAAATAAATGAGTACAAGCACATGGAGGCAACACATTTTATTCGAAAAAAGCAACAATAACAAAAAAATTAACAAATGGCGGCTGATTCGCAAATAATAGCATAACAAAAACTTTGAGAATTTTCCTCTTGTGGGGATTGTACTGCGATTGACGCGTCAATTGGACACTCCTAGAGTCAGCGTATATAATTTTGATTGGTAGATAGTCGAAGCTCGACATTTTGATTATTTTTTCAAATATTCTATCAAAAGTCTTCGATTGTCGAAGCAGATGTCCGCGAGGCAGAAGTGGCACACAGACATTCATAACTGCTATCACTACAATGCTGATTAGTGAGACCATATTAGTAAAGACTATGTTTCAAACGGTCAGGACCAATCACTTGTTTCAGCGAGTCATAGCTAGAGATATTAGGTCGCGAAAGTCCTGTCGCACCTTTCCAAAAATTCATAACTTCTGATTTTTCCATCCTATTTGACTGCTTTTGTTTTTCTATGAAAGAGTAAGTCATGCTCTTTATAACGACATCTTAGCTGCTTACTAGTGGTCATCTGTTGCATAGATAGGAGCGATAGAAGAAAATTAACAGAATTCAAATTTTCTGTATAGAATCATAAAAAATCGGAGACTTACAACAAAAAACGGAGCAGGCAGTACTATAGAATTTTTCACAAGCTCTTTCTAATGGTGCAAAGTTGCGCTGGTTGAGTGTTTCTATCAAAAGTTATGATTTCCCTGAAAATGCCAAAATAAATCAAATTCGCCTTTTTCTATTGCTTGCTCAAGAATCATAACTTTTCTTAGAGGCGCTCAATCAGCACAAGCTTTGCACTGTTAGAAAGAGCTGGTGAAAAAACCTACTATACCGACTGCTCCGATTTTTGCTGCAAGTTTCCGATTTTTTATGACCCTGCACAGGAAATTCGAATTTTTGACTAATTTCTTCCATCGCTCCTATCTAAGCAAAAGATGACCACTAGTAAGCAGCTAAGATGTCTAAAAAACATGACTTACTCTTTCATACAAAAATAAAAGCAGTGAAATCGTTTGGATTGGAAGTTATGAATTTTCGAAAATGGTGCGAACGAACTTTTGGGCCAACCTAATATATTAGGTTGACGCAAAAGTTCTGCCGCATCATTTTTTTCATAAAAGTATAACTTCTTGCTTTCTCAATGGATTTGCACAAACTCAATTTCGTCAAACAGAAAAAACTCCTTTCTTTACAGCCTAATTGTTCTTTTTCCTTCAAACTTCGGCGTTTGAATAATAGAGTTTTGTTTGCTAGTTGCGCCAACGCGAGGTTTCAGCGAAGCCTTTGTTAGTAGAGCGGCCTAATGTTTCGAGCAATCCTCTTCTTCGGAGGCCGTGGTTCTACCGCAATCGCATCCATGGTGGTGTGCAATTGCGTAAAGCAACCTCCGAAGATGAGGACTACTCGACACTTTAGGCAGCTCTGCTATTGGAGGCTTCGCCGAGACTTATGCTGCCACAACTAAGAAATAAAACTACATCTTTCCTTTGTGATAGTGCCGGTGCCGCTCTTTAACAAGGGGCAACTTTCGAGATGGAAGCAGGACATAAAATCACCTAAACATTCATTCTGAGTTAGGACTCTAAAACCAAAATATAAGATTCTCAGCAAGCAGGTATGGTAAGTATTTTGATCCACACTTTCCAACAGTGCAAATTTTGTGTCAAATGAGCATCTCTGTGAAGTGTTATGATTGTTGGGTAAGCAACACAGAACATCGAATTTGATTTTTGAAATTTTTTCTCGAAAATCATAATTTCTCACAGAAGTGCTCATTTGACACAAGCTCTGCATTGTTATAAGCTGCGGATTAGAAGATTTACTGTACTGCTTGTTCAAAATTTTGCCGCAAGTTTCAAATCTTTAGCAGCCTAACTTAAAATGACCAAAGTTAAACCAACTTTACTCTCCTACTTCCATCTTTAGCACTTATTAGAGAACAGCTGAGCAACTATTAGGTTGGCTACAGATAAGGTCGTTGCATGTAAATCTTTATGAAGAAACATGTTGTTTTCTATCCATGATTCTTTGTGTGGAAGTAGTTCAAAGCTTCCTCCATCATATTTCGAATAATTAAGATTTTATTATCAGTAAAGAAAGTTATGCTTCAACATGGCTAAATTTCCAAAAGCTCAGTTCTTGTGACTACCTAAGCATCGTTTTCATGCTGTAATGGATGCAGAGAACAGCAGTTCAGTATTTAGATACAGAGGAGTTTTCCCTACTTAGTGAATAACAATGAAAATTGTGATTTTCAAACTTTCATAAAAAATTTTATATTTCAATTCCCATAGAAATGCTCTAGCCAGAGAAATCAAAGACTGGACAAATACGTCTGTAGCATTTGCAAGAGCCGCGAAAAGCGACCGAACTTACTTATTAGCCAAACTATTATCACAAAAAGAAAGCTTTCCTCTATCTAGCAAAATCTGGATTGTGCAAATCCGCTGAAAGAGCAAGATCAGGATTCTTTTATTTTTCAGAAATGGTTCGACAAAACTTTTGCATCAATCTAATCTATGAAAATATAGAAAAATTGCGCTACACTTATTGTTTCTTTTGGATAATCCGCTTCAACAAAGTAATACTTTTGCTTGCTTCCAAAAATCGATTTTGATGCAAATGGATTGATGAGATGAGTATTTCCAGTGGACTGAACATGGTTGTGGACCAGTGCTGCAAGTTTTGTACAAATACCACTTTCATCCGTTGCTTGGGCGCGTGAAGTGTTCACTTCATCGAGTTTGCTTACAAGTCTCTCTTTTACATATTGAGTGCATTCAATACAAATACCAAATATGTGCATCCAGGTATGTCAGCCGTACCATATCTACCCGAATTTTAACCTAAGGTCTCGGGAAGTTTGTATACATTGCCAAAAGGCTGTGAAACTGAAAAACTAACGGCAGCCACCGGTTGGCAATTTTCTCACCAAACTGAAGACTGTTACTGGATGATGAGAACTTTCATAAAGTTTCAAACTTTGCTTGTGGGAATGAGCATGTCTGCAGGTTATCAGTCCATTTATTTGCCCAAAATCATTTAGCAACGAACAAGATGCAAACACATAAACTAATTTGGAGTCACGGAGGGGTACCTAGACTCCATAACGGTAACATCAATTCGCATGCACACAGATTGGATGCATCTAAAGCCTTCATATCCACAGTCTAAATCGCTAGTGCATCGTACATTCTCAGTCTGCACGAATAGAAAAGGGTTTTGCCTTCTCCACTTCGGCAGTACCATACAGATTGACTGTATGCAAACGAGATTTGGAAGGCCGCAGTCAAAATCACTACTGCAAGGCAAATTGATTACGCAAAAGTAGTTGACGCATGAAGCTGATGAAGGGCAATTATAAATTTTACAGAACATCAAACCACCCCCCGGCCTCCATTGAAGCATGGGAACACAATTTCCCTGAATGCATTCGAATCTTGGGTCGCTACATTCCTCTGCAGTTGTGCAAGGCACACCGCGTGGTATTTGCGTGCCAAGCGGAAAGTTTGACTGACTTCCATGTGGATTTGGCATCTGTAGGTTTTGCGTAGATGCTGTAAGCGAAAATTTCTCATCAACAACGCAGACAGATTCTTTGCATTTGTATTGCGGACTACCACATTCATAATCATTCTTGCAGTGTAGATTGACACAAAAGTCGTTTATGCACGCAGCTGGTGGTGGACAAGAACCGAAACACATCAGCACAACGTTGCCGGGCCTCCATTTAGGCTTGGGTATACAATTTCGTTGAATGCACTCAAATCGGAAATCCTTACATTCATAGTTAGTTGTGCAAAACAGGCCGCGTAAGCAGACATTACTGATGCAAGCATACGGAGGAGGGCAAACACCATCTGGGCAAGGCATTCCAACATGTGCTGATAGAGGTCTTTCTGTTCGAGGAGGCGGAGGTGGTGGAGGAGGCGGAGGTGGTCTTTCTGTTCGAGGAGGCGGAGGTAATGTAAGCGAAAATTTCTTATCAACAACGCAGACCGATTCTATGCATTTGTATTGCGGGCTACCACATTCATAATCATTCTTGCAGTGTAGATTGACACAAAAGTCGTTTATGCACGCAGCTGGTGGTGGACAAGAACCGAAACACATCAGCACAACGTTGCCGGGCCTCCATTTAGGCTTGGGTATACAATTTCGTTGAATGCACTCAAATCGGAAATCCTTACATTCATAGTTAGTTGTGCAAAACAGGCCGCGTAAGCAGACATTACTGATGCAAGCATACGGAGGAGGGCAAACACCATCTGGGCAAGGCATTCCAACATGTGCTGATAGAGGTCTTTCTGTTCGAGGAGGCGGAGGTGGTGGAGGAGGCGGAGGTGGTCTTTCTGTTCGAGGAGGCGGAGGTAATGTAAGCGAAAATTTCTTGTCAACAACGCAGACCGATTCTATGCATTTGTATTGCGGGCTACCACATTCATAATCATTCTTACAGTGTAAATTGACGCAAAAGTTGTTTACGCACGCTGCTGGCGGTGGACAAGAACCGAAACACATTAGCAAATCGTTATTGGGCCTCCATTTAGGTTTGGGAACACAGTTTCCCTGCATGCATTTAAATCGTAGATCGCTACATTCCTCGTCGGTTGTGCAAGGCACACCGCGTGGTATTCCATATGAAGGATTTGGCATCTGCGGGTTTCGCGTAGATGCTGTAAGCGGAAATTTGTTATCAACAACGCAGACCGATTCTATGCATTTGTATTGCGGACTACCACATTCGTAATCATTCTTACAGTGTAAATTGACGCAAAAGTCGTTTATGCACGCAGCTGGCGGTGGACAAGAACCGAAGCACATCAGCACAACGTTGCCGGGCCTCCATTTAGGCTTGGGTATACAATTTCGTTGAATGCACTCAAATCGGAAATCCTTACATTCAAAGTTAGTTGTGCAAAACAGGCCGCGTAAGCAGACATTACTGATGCAAGCATACGGAGGAGGGCAAACACCATCTGGGCAAGGCATTCCAACATGTGCTGATTGAAGTCTTTCTGTTCGAGGAGGCGGAGATGGTGGAGGAGGCGGAGGTGGTGGAGGAGGCGGAGGTGGTCTTTCTGTTCGAGGAGGCGGAGGTGGTGGAGGAGGCGAAGGTGGTGTTTTTGTTTGAGGAGGCGGAGGTGGTGGAGAAGGCGGAGGTGGCCGACGTGGTGTAGGCGAGATGTCTTTATCAGCAGTGCAGATAGATTGTACACATCTAAGTCTTGGACTGCCACAGTCTTGGTCATTTTTACAATGCACATTTGCCAAACAGAAGTATTCTATGCAAACGGTGAATGAGTTGCACGGATGGTTTTTGCACATTATCAGTTGGTTATGAGGTCTCCATCTAGGCATAGGGATACACCTGTATTCCTTGCATTCGAATCGCGGATCACAGTAGGCGTCTGTTTTGCAAAGGTTGCCGGTTACGCAGACTTTTTCAATGCACCTGAGCGGGATGTGACAGTCTTCATTACTCTGGCACGGATTCGGTATGAATGGTGATATCCCCTCTGAAATTTTTGGCACATTAGTAAAGTGTCCGTACTCTTAAGCGGCTTTTAGATGATAAAAGGTCTTTCCTGCTAGAACGTTAGAAAGTTTTTCCGTCATATATTTATCAAAAATATATGGAGCTTTTGCGCATACATAGTCTTTACTGCTGGCAAGTCAAAGTAAAAGGAAGATTTCCTTATAAGCTGTACGCTTAATTGATGCGACATCATTGCATATATGAAGCAGCAAAGACATGGGATAACAAGGACCTGCTCCACATAATCTCTGTGCGGAAGACCTGGTCATCATAGAACTACTCAACTGCCAAAACGTCAGACTGACAAGGGAGGGTCACGAAGTCGAAGTGGCCGATCACCACAAATTGCATACTGAATGAGAGTTTGAAAAGCTGATACCCATTCCGCTTATCCTATTTGCAGAGCGCTTCAGGATTTGAAGTCATGAGCATTTTTTGAAGAGGGAAAATGAACCATTTCCGGCATGAAAGCAATCATTACGGCCTTTCTAGACGTCACCTGGAGCAATAGAAAGTACTGTACACATATCCTGACACTTGTCGCGGCTTCTTTTGAGGCCTAGAAATGCTGTGGCGATTCCCTCATTTTCAAGAAACAGTGGGCTAAAACATGTTTTCTAGCCAAGAAAACGCATTTTTCGAATAATCTGCTTTTTTTATACCCTATTTTCTGGTTTATAAGCCGCACCTTATATAAGCCGCACCCGCCGCAGCGAACAATGGCGCGGAAGAGCTTTCGAAAAGAAAGTTTTGATCTAACAAACTGAAAACTCGCTGCATTTTGTGACTGATTTTCATTGCGCATGTTCACGTTTTCAGAGACTTCTTTATTCTGTGTTTTTTCTTCAAGGATACAATGGAGTTGACCGTGTTTTCTTTTGTTTCTAAAGATGTTACTGAGGTTTAAGCTGCTGCTATTTTATTCGATTTTAATGATTGTTGATGATGATGTTGATGTTTCGATAGTGCTTCCAATGCTTCCACAAGAAAGAGCGAAAGCAGAAAGTTACAATCAGGCCACTAGGTAAAATAGGTGGTAGCTGGCTGCTTGCGCGGCCTCGCATATAGCGACCATCATCTCGCATCAGCCCGCACGCGACCAAAATTATTGCGGCTTATACGCCGGAAAATAGAGTAATTGAAGTCTGAGCTGCAAAATGCCCCAGTAAGTAGAAAATGGCTCGGTCACGTGCTGAAGAAGCTCTGCAAAGTTCAGTCAATTTCATAATCATCAAATTCGCGATATTCCATGACCTGGAAAAGGTTTTTTTGCCTCGGCAATGAAGAACTTTGTCAGGTTTTCTAACCAGCTTCAACTAAGCTCTAGAGTTCGACGAGATTAAGCACACTCTTTTTCTTTCGCATAGCTTTGCGTTGAGGCTGGTTCAATGCATTGATCATGTGCAAAAGTTCTTGGCTTTTTTGCAAGGCTAATCTCGAGGCTTTGGAGCTGAAAAGTATAATTGCATTGATAAACAAAGTCCTTTTGTTTTGGCCAAACATATGCTCAGCTTGTAAAACATTTTAGCCATAACAAATCTATTTTTGCACAATATCTGCTCCATCATAAGACTTTGCGGACAGCAGAAGGCCAGTTTTGGATTAAAAGTGTGACTCCTTACTCTAATTAGGGTAAAGTCAAGATTTAGATGAGAAATGCAATGTTTGATTTTTTCGGTTGTTGAGCGATATCAAGATTGTTAATAAGACCTAAGGCCTTAATACAAGTTGACTGGGAGCTCAAAGTCTCGAAAGAACAGACGATTTTGGAGCAACGTAGTCCAAAAGTATTTGCAGAGCAGCTCAACAATTCGAATTGCACTAAAAAGGGAAGTGTGATAAGTACTGGCCTCCTTACGGAAGCTACCAACTAAAGCCTTTTGAAACGATATTGTCGAAACAGCCTTCCTTAGCTGCATAACAAGTCTGAGACGGGAGTTATGAGCTTACTAATTACTGAATTTTATTAGGTTGATGCAAAAGTTCTGTTGCATCATTTGTAAAACAAACATAACTCTCGTTCCCTCAACGGATTTGCAAAAACTTATTTTTGCTAGATAGAGGAGACCCTTCTATTTTTGGTAGTTGCTCTGCTGCTTTCTATTAGGTTGTCCGGAAATTAATGCAGGTTTTTGATTCCAATTGCAATAAGTCATACACTTCTCATTACTAAGTAGGTTGCAAGACATTATTCGATAGAACAAAGCAAACTCTACAAAATCGCTATCTTGCTTTAGCAACAGCTCTGATCCACCACGAGTTTCGAGCCAAAAACCAGAAGATCCAACTGCCCGAAAAATTGAGAAAAATCGTAACTCTGTCCATAAAAATCCTACAAAAATTCTAACTTGCTCACGTAAACACAATCCACATATGGCATCTATATACCCCGCTGCTGCATTTTTTCCCCTGTTTAGAAACCAAGAAAACGGAAATTTTTGTGCATTTGTCAAAGTGGTGTTGTGCCGTTCCCACATAAGTATTTGTATACTACATGCCTGTAGAAGTACAAACTAAATTTCCAGCTCTTTACAAGCTTTAGTTTTCGAGAAATATCGAATAGAATTTTCCCTAGTCATATGGTCCAAGCTAAAATTCAAACTTCTCGAGAACTAAAGCCTGTGAAGAGCTGGGAATTAACGTTTGTACTTATACAAATTCGTAGTATACAACTACTGATGTGATAACGGCACAGTACCACTTTGGCAAATGCACGAAAATTCCGTTTTCTTGATTTTCAACAGGGGAAAAAATGCAGCAACGGCGTATATAGATGCCTTATGTGGATTGTGTTTACGTGAGCAAGTTAGAATTTTTGTAGGATTTTTATGAACAGAGTTACGAGTTTACTCAATTTTTCGGACAGTTGGGTCTTTTTGGTTTTTGGCTCGAAACTCGTGGTGGATCAGAGCTGTTGCTAAAGAAAGATAGCTATCTTGTAGAGCTTGCTTTGTTCTGTCGAATGGTGTCTTGCAACCTACTTAGTAATGAGAAGTGTATGACTTATTGCGATTGGAATTCAAAAACTGCATTAATTTCCGGACAACCTAATAATAAGGGCTAGCTTCTAAGGTGGAAGCAGGAGAATTGAAAATTACTTTAGCTGCGTTCATTTTGCTTTTGACTGCTAGAAATCTGAAACTTGCGATGAAATTCCGAGCAATTAGTATAGTAGGTCTTTTGATCCACACTTTCTCACAGTGCAGAATGTGATTTAGAAAAGCACCTCTGTGAGAGTTATGATTAATTCTTGGGTATGCTTTACAAAACAGCAAGTTTGTTTTCGAGAATTATAACTCTTCACAGAAATGCTTATTCGATACAAGCTCTGCAATCTTGAAAGTTGTGAAACAAAAGACTCACTTTACTGTTGCCAGGAATTTGGCAAATTTCAGATTTTTTTGCAGCCTAACTTAGAATGACCGAGGTTGAAGTTATTTATTTATTTATTTATTTATTTATTTATTTATTTATTTATTTATTTATTTATTTATCTGATTCTACTGCTTCCACATCAGAAGCTATCTTTTATCGAAGAGCACCAAAGGCACTCACAAAGAAAAGGGTTTCCTCTATTTAGCAAAATTAGTTTGTGGAAATAAATTGAGAGAGCAAGAAGTTATCGTTTTTCAAAAATGATGCGAAAGAACTGTTTCATCGTTTCATCTATGTTTGAGCCCGAAAAGCTCCAATAGTTTTGGCTACTACAGGCGCTGTAAATTTCCCGCAAAATTAAATCTATTAAGTCCAGATTCGGATTCGTTTTGCAGCTTAGAAAGGCTGTTTTGGAATCAGCGTTTCAGGTTGCTTCAGATGATACCTATCTAGTCAAAAGGCCACTGCGATTTCTGACACTTTCTTGTGAGTTCGGTATTCAGCAGATATCTAAGACTTTGTTGCTGTAACTTCATGAATGATTTTGTTCCGAAAGGCTGCAATGGGAGCGAAATACTTTGCTCAAGCCGTATAATTATGCACCGCTAAAAGATAGATATTGAGAAGATGCACCGCTGCACCTTCTCAATATCTAAGTTGACACTGCGCATAGTTTTCGCTATGCCCTTCTGAATATCATCGAGAGTCTTCAAGTTTCTTTGAAAACTGCGAAACTTAAAAACGGGTTTGCATAATTATGAACCTTACGTTACATAAGTTTTGCCAAATGCCTTCAAACAGTCAGCTTTACAAGATGGCAGTCACAGCTGTGCATCAAGTTTAATCCATACAAAATTTGAAGCCAAAGTCTATAGCGAGAAGGTTGGAAAATTGAGGAAGAAATCGGAACCTCTTCTGAAACATTTACGGATCTCACCTGCGCATGATACATTTTATTAGATTTGCATACACGGTTGTTATATTTTTCTCTTATTTATTCTCACCAAATTCAATTTATCTCAAAAACTTTTGCCAAAGGCTAAAAATTTAGGTTCTACTTCTGAAGACTTGAAGTGTACAATTGTAAGTTTAGAACCAGCTTAGCATTGCTCTGGTAACACTATAAAAAGTTTGATTTTCCGACTTTCAACCAAAAGAAAAATCAGCAGCTTTTAAGCTATTTCGAAAGTTCTTTCCGTTCTTCCAACCTCTTATAAAACACTTTTAACGAAAACGGGCAAATCTCATCCTTTTTCCAATGAATGTGAATATGTGCAAATTTATTTCGTGTTCATCAAATATTCGGCAGAATTTTAAAAGCAGTGTCCAGGCTAAACCTAACCCCCTCCGATTAGTGTCGATCCTGAATGTAGGCGCCAGTAAAGGGGCATCTGCGTTGGTCCGGTATCCTAATGTTCTCTCTGAATGGAGATAAGGGGCGTGAAAGTCCCTGGCTGGGCGGAGTCTAATATCAGACTCCGCCCACCAGGGACTGCTTCCCGACACGTATTGACATGGTAGTGAGCAGAAGCTGCACACTGCACACTGCAATGCAACTGCACCCAATCAGTTGCAGCTCTTCCCCGCTGGCCTGCCGACGGGGCG